TATACCCTCCCAGCCCAGGTGTTCCTCCCCCTTCTCTGAGACACAGAGAGAGCAATGATGCTGTAGTGTATGAGTAAGGATATTTTTACACCCCATGAAAAGGTCTGAAATGGATGTAGGGAAGTGACAAATAAGTAAAGAAAAAGGAAAGAACAAACTAGAGATGTGATGGATGTGTAATAGGAAAAGAAGAAAAAGAGAGAAGAAAAAGTGAATGAAAATGGAATGTAAGAGAAAGTGGATATGAGAATATTATTATTAGTAATGTTATATTCATCAGAAAAAAGGGGGTTTTATATTTTAGATATTAATAAAATTACATTTAGAAGATTTGGTGTTAAAAAATTGATTCATATAAATATATTAGGAAAAAAAAATTTCAAAATTCTTAACAAGAATTAATTTTGTTTTGAAAAATAAAAATCAGTTTTGAGATATCCAACCTCTGGTTTTAAATATAAGACCTTTTAACTACTTCACAAGAATTTAGAAAACTGGGTATTTTCATTAATGGCATGAAATTTATCAACAATTTTGGTGCCTTTTACAAATCCATCCTTAAAATTATTGAGACCCAAAAAAACTCTCTTTACACATAATTAATTACTTTGTCTTATCTAAGGTTGTTGAGGTGAAAAAATAATCAATGCAAGCAATAACTTGGAAGGTGTCTTATAAAAAAGACTGATAAAATCCCCAAGATGGTATTATAAGCAGCATAGTAACTGTAATAATTAATAAGGCCTAGTATGGTTTACTAACTAACAAGGATTTCAATGTAAAATCATATTCTATGGTTCAAATTGTAGTAAAAATTTTATTAAAATCAGAGCTATAAAAACCTAAAATAAATAGCCATTAAAAGTAACATGCATCTACTCCATTTACTACAAACATAATTTTGATGAAAGTAAGAACTTAAAAAATTTCACTTCCAAAACAAATTATTGTAGTGGCACCAAAATCATCTTTTCTACAAGGCAAATAAAACAAAACCAAAAAAAAAAAAAAAGTACTAATCACTTAAGTTGAACTCAAAACAAGTTTCACGGTATAAAGAAAACACGCGACATTGTAAAATTATTTCTTTCACTCACTCAAATACTTTTTACATCTTCTGTACACATAAAAAATACTTCCCCCAAACAAAGGTGATAGTTACCACACAGGAATTGTTAAAAATAAAATAAAATAGCATTTTGTTATTCAAATGGTCCACGGGGGAGGTGAGAACAATGTAAAATCCAAACTATGAAAAAAAGATCCAAAATAATACGAATTATGTCTTCCCCTTTCAGCTAGCATCAAATAAAATATAAAAAATTAGTTTCTGGTCCCCGTTTATCTATTGCAAAAATAGAGACCAAATGACCAATCCTGCCCTCTACATTTTTCATTAGCAGGCAAAATGTTTCCAAAAGGATTATTTCAAAAAAGTCAACGAAGATTAGGTTTACTGTAGGCCATCAATCATTCAATCTAGTTCGTACTTTAACACCAAAAAAAAAGTACAATATATAAACTCATCATCAACCTAATGTAAATGCGCCCATGCTTAACGTGGAAGCATAAAAATAGAAAACTCATAGCATAAGACTGATGTTACTATGTAGCAGTAAGTATCACCTTTGGGCGTCCAACGGGCCTTCCTGCAGGGTTCTTGGGCCTTCCCACGGCGAGCTTCTGAGGAGGACCCTGTCTCATCCCCGGCAAGACCTTGCGTCCCCGTCCGCGGCCACGACCACGGGGTGCAACACCAACGGTATTCAGTGCCGGAACTCCCACATCAGCGGCATTCTTCCTGGGTCGCCCTCTGGGCCTGGGAGACCCATTGGGTACTGAAGCAGATGGAACAGCTGGCGGCACTGTGGGAAGGCTGGCAGTCACAGAAGGAACAGGAGCGGCGAAGGGGATGACGGTCAGGTTTGATTGGGTTTTGGGCGGGCGGCCCGGACGCCGCTTGAGCCCATTGGAGAAGGCGGAGACGGATTTGGGCTTGGGAGGACGGCCGGGCCTCTTGGGCAATTTAGATCTCCCAGAGCCAGGAGGGCGGCCTCTCCTGCCGGGGACGGGGGAGCCCACAGGCAGAGGTCCAATTTTTCGAGGACGACCGGGGCCCCTTTTGGCGGATTGAGCTGCAGGGTCGTCGGAGAGGCCGAGAGCCGCCCAGACTGGTTCGGTGGGCTGAGATTGGGGCTGGATTGGGAGTTTGGGCTTGGGGGGTCGACCGCGGGGCCTCTGGGTTTGGGGAGAGGAAGGTTGGTCGGGGTGAGATCCAGGAAGTTTGTATGATTTTTTGACCATAACGAGGTTCCCTTCTGCCTTTAAGCGGTTGAGGTGGTGAGTCAACAGAGCTGTGTGAGTTGGTGGCAGGTCTTTGTATGTTTGCTCTATGTATTTCCCTATTGCTCTCTTGCTCGACCCATCCTTCTCCTTCAATGCCCCTATTGCTGCCTGTATCATCTGTCACATAAACTCATTCACTGCATGTTAGTATTCACTTCCCTCAATTAATTTAGTAACTGATCCACATCACATCTTACCTCTTCGTAAGGTGGGTGGTTGGGGTTCGGGTTGGGATTTTCGTTGACGTTGTCAGCGACGGAGGGCATGTGATTGTTTGGTTCCACGGTGAAGGGAACGCTGGTGGGAATCGCCGGAGGAGGAGGAGGGGGAGGAGAGATCCAAGTTGGGTCCATGGTTATTAGAGAGAGAGAGAGAGAGAGAGAGAGAGGTTAGATTCGAAATTTGAGAAATAGATTGACGATAGAGAAATAGATAGATGTTACTGAAGAAGTGCAGTGAAAGCAGAGAGAGAAAGAAAGGGGGTTAGGTCATAACTCGCATATGTTTTCTCTTTCTTGTAAACTAAGGGGACTATCCTAGCGAGTATGATGTCAGCTATTAGGGCAATTCTCCACCGTTGATGTTGTTTTATCACTTGCCTTCTTCTTTTTTTCGGATAATGCAGTTTTAAAATAATATTACTTAAAAAATAATTATTAAAATTGGTTAATTTAATAGTGATGAATAAATGTAACAAACACGATGCAATACAAACTGACATGTCTCCTACATGACGCATTTTAATGTATGGTACCTCTTAATTTTTATAATAAAAATTTCAATTTCAATTTCAATTTTTTCCATTTAAAATAAAATTAACAATTTTATTTACTTTAACTTAAACTTTTAGATTAAAAAATTTTAAATAACAAAAATAATTAAATTTAAAGTTTAAATTTATTTTTCTTTTATTTTAATTAAAGTTTAAATTTAATTAATATCAAAAGAATTCAAAGTTGAATCTTCAATATAAACTTTGGTCAATAAAATGAAATAAAAAATACAATTTAAACTCAATTTTCAATATATAATAGTTGTTACACATTTTTAACCTTCCCTAAATGTTTGAATGGAAGATAAAATAGAAAAAAAAATGAGATAAAAGTATAACAAAAAGTATATTATTTTAAAAAAAATAAGAAAAAATAAATATGCTTATATGCATAAATAAAAAAAATTAAGCATTCATTTTAGTTTTTAAAATATATTATATTGCTCAAATTAATTTTTTAAAATTTAAATATTTTTTAATTCATGTCACTAACCAGCCTCTCATATAATTTTGTTTACATCTAACATGGAGATAAGAATCTCACTTTAAAAGTATCCAAGTAATCTTACTTACATCTATCATGATGATAATAGTAGTAAAAGAAATAGTTTTAAAAATTATATTAATTAAATAAAAAAATGTCTTGATTAACCTTAAGTAGCATCACAACCATAAATATATAAGAAATCCCATGTTAGACCAATTAAAAATCATGTTTAATATATGTATGGGCGTGACCAATATATATATAAAATATTTAGATAATTCTTGCAATCAAATCAACAATTTAGTATATATTATCTTTAGTTTTTTTATAAGAAATAAAATAAAACATTTTCTTGATTATTATTATAAGGAACAAATAATAGATTCAAAATATATTAATTGCTAATTTTTTTTTATACCCTTCTTTTATTAGTATCATTAAATATATAAATTACCAAATATACCATTTAATATTATAGATATTCTTGAAATAAAATTTATATTTATATAAAATATAACTAATTTAATTACTTTATTTGTTCTTGATGATTTAGTCTTTTATTTTTTATAAAAAAAATTAAAAAATCATAATAATTAAGAAACAAAATTTATTCGTGACACCAATGAAAAATAAAGATAGACTCCTCTAAAATCTAATTAAAAATTGCCTCTAAAAAATTATATAATCATGGCATTTGTTAAATTGTGTAATTATGTTCAAATCATATATCTTTTCCTTCAGGTCATATTATCTTACACGAGGCTAGAGAATCATTGTATTGCTCTCGATGCACAGTACATCCCAATACACTTTAAACTTAAAACATGAAGGCGTTTTAACATAAACATTTCAAAAGCCTACAAATAGAATACCGATCACTTAAAATCACATAATTGGAGAAATGCTGTTATAGGACATTTTAAAATTTCTACAATTCATGTAAGATATGAAGAAAGAGTAATTTCAACATACCAAAAAAATTTAATTAAATAATTTTATATCAAATATAAAAAATTTCAAATAACTTCTTTTAAAAATTTAAAATTCTCTCTATTATACTTAACTTTTTGTATTTATTACTTATATCTACTATCACGCTTTACTCCTACTTTAAACATTGATTGCTTTCATATTTTTTAAAATTGAGAAATTAATCATCCAACCATAACTTAACAAAACTGCAAAGTAATGAGAAAATATATATGAAAATATAAATAAAACTCCGGGCAAAAGTTTACTTTCATAATGGCTCATTTAATCCGATTGAAATTTATAGGAATCTTCACATATGAGAAATTCCTCTGAATTATTGGTTCCCTCGACCCTCTCCAAGAGCAATAAGGAGAGGGCAGAAAGAATTGAGAAAATATATGCGGAGAAACTAAATAAAGTTCATACAAGTACAACCACACAATCATTAGAAATAGCAGGCAATAACTACTTAAAAAATAAGACCCCAAACGACGGGGAGACAGATAGAAAGAATAATAAGCTTAAATGAGACCAACATACACATTAATGTGATTACAGTAAGCTGTAAAATTCGAATAAATATTTCTTGAATAACAACTGAATCATCAGTACCTACTAGTTATATTCAAGTAAATACTTGAGGGGTCAAACTAAAGGTGCACAACAGCAAACTAACATGGACACAGTCATTTCACTCACAGAAAAATCAGTACAGCTACTTCCTACGCCCTTTACAGATCTTTTACCTCTTGAGCCTTGTTAAAAACACTTGTACAAGTGGTTCTCCATCAAATTCTGGTCCATAAAATTCCCTCTAGCTCAGGGCTGATGTATGTGGTTGGAAAAATTGCTGTAGCTGTGGCTGAGTAGATATCTGGGGATATTGCTGTTCATACATCTGTGGCTGTGGCATTTGCTGTGGGGACTGCTGAAGTTGCTGAGTTTCATCAGCTAATGGTGCTTTAAGGTCCATAGTTGCCAGTACTTCCAAATCTTGAATTGCTGCAATTGCAGTGACTGGACTTTCATGGTTAAAATAAGGCTTAAGCACACCAAGAGATTCCTTCACTTTAGATTGCTGCAATAAAGAATCAACCAATCAAATATAATTTCTTGGAAATATAATAAACAATTGAACATTCAAATGGGAGATTATGTCAACTTACAAAGTGTTCAAGTTTCCCCCTTAGCTCTTCATTAGCAGCCTTCTGTGCTGTGATAGCATCTGTTGCTCCCTATTCCACAAACACCAAGCAATGCAATATGCAAATAAGAGCAATTTCCATGAAGTGGAAAAAAGGTAATTGAAACAACAGCAGTAAAGTAATTGAAATTCATAATACTGAGATCAAACTATATCTAAAAATAACATGAAAATATTGACATAGATCAGTAGCTGTCCAAATTTCTTATTCAATCAAACTGCATAATCCTCTCATCTTCTAGGCCTGGATTATAATTATAATTTTAGCTAACTCAGTCCAGGGTTATACTCATTCTAATAGTCAACTCTCGAACCAAACATAAAATTCACACATTCTCAGGAGACATTACAAAAAGATATTTTCATTTAGGAAAATGCTAACCACTGCCATTAGAACAGTGGTTAAGGAATTAGAAATAGAAACTTTTATGTTAGAAAATGTAAAAAGGCACTCACCCAGGGGAGAGAGAGAGATCAATGATGTAGTACTGTTATGAGTAATGATATGTTCCCACCCCTATGCTAGGGTGTGAAATAGATGAAGGAAAATGAGAGAAAAGAGGTAAAAAAGGAAAGTACAATTGTGGTGCATAAGAAAAGAAAAGAACGAAAGAAAAAGCAGATGTAAATACAATGAAAGAGAAAATGGGTGCAGAAATATTATAATTGGTAGTGTTATATTAGTCAGAAAAAGGGTTTGGTTGATTTAGATTTTAGTAAAATTACTTTCATATAATTAATTATACTAGGAAATAACATTTAAAAATTCTTAACAAGAAATAATTTTGTTTGGAAAATAAAAATCAGTTTGGAGATATAAATTTAATAAATATTAAGGGCTAGTTTGGTTTACTGCCAAAATCAATTTCACACATCCTGACACATACTTGTTTGTAAAATATATAACTTGGATTAATTTAGTTTAGGCATGCATCTTTAATCATGTTCGATGGTTCAAACTTAATTTTATTAAAATCAGTGCTACAAAACCTAAAATAAATACTCACTAAAATTAACATGCGTCTACTCCATTTACTTCAAACATAATTTTGTACTTCAAAAATAACGGATGCTAGTGGCAGCAAAATCACCTTTTCTCCAAGGCAAATTTAATTCAACTAAACAAAAACAAAACCATAAAAATCACTTGAATTGAACTAATTTTTACTTCAAAAATAACCGATGCTAGTGGCAGCAAAATCACCTTTTCTCCAAGGCAAATTTAATTCAACTAAACAAAAACAAAACCATAAAATCACTTAAATTGAACTCAACGACATAAGACATTGTAAAATTATCTCTTTCACTGACTTAAATTCGCATGCATATCTCAAAAATACTTTCAAAAAACAAAGGTGATAGCAGAAGATATCACATATGAATTGTACAAAAATAAAATTCTGTTTATTCAAAATAATACAGATTATGTTTTTCCCTTACTGCTTGCTTCGTATAAACAACAAAAAACTAGTCTCAGCTTACCTACAGCAAAAATAGAGACTAACCCTCCACATTTTTTATTGGCAGATAAATGTTTCCAAAAGAGTTACTTCAGAAAAGTCAACGTAGATGAGATTTACTATAGACAGTTAATCACTCAATCTACTTCGTACTTAAAGTATCCACACACACACACACACCAAAAAAAAAAAAAAAAGTAGAATACATAAGCTTATCCGGCTACAAAAAATGCGGCTATGCTTAAGTTGGAAGTTTAAGAAAAACTGACAGCATAACCAAAAAGGTTAAAACTTCGAAGCATAATATAAGTATGCACCAAAGACTATCACCTTAGGGCGGCCCACCGGCCTTCCCACAGCAAGCTTCGGAGGACGGCCCTGCCTCATCACCGGCAAGACCTTGCGTCCACGTCCGCGGCCGCGGCCGCGACCGCGGGGTGCAGCACCGACAGTACTCAGTGACATAACTCCGACAACAGCAGCATTCTTCCTGGGTCGCCCTCTGGGTCTGGGAGACCCATTGGGTACAGAAGCAGATGGAATAGCTGGCGGTACTGTGGGGAGGCCGGCGGTGACAGAAGAAACAGGAGCAGCGAAGGGGATGACGGTTAGGTTTGACTGGATTTTGGGCGGGCGGCCTGGACGCCGCTTGAGCCCACTGGAGAAGGCGGAGACGGATTTGGGCTTGGGAGGACGGCCGGGCCTCTTGGGCAACTTAGATCTCCCAGAGCCAGGAGGGCGGCCTCTCCTGCCAGGGACGGGAGAGCCCACAGGCAGAGCTCCAATTTTTCGAGGACGACCAGGGCCTCTTTTGGCGGATTGAGCTGCAGGGTCGTCGGAAAGGCCTAGGGCGGCCCAGACTGGTTCGGTGGGCTGGGATTGGGGCTGGGTTGGGAGTTTGGGCTTGGGGGGTCGACCGCGTGGCCTTTGAGTTTGGGGAGAAGAAGGTTGGGAGGGATGAGATCCAGGAAGTTTGTATGATTTTTTGACCATAACGAGGTGTCCAGAAGCCTTCAAGCGGTTGAGGTGGTGAGTCAACAAAGCTGAGTGAGTGGGTGGAAGGTCTTTGTATGTTTGCTCTATGTATTTTCCTATTGCTCTCTTGCTCGACCCATCCTTCTCTTTCAGGGCCCCTAATGCTGCGTGTATCATCTGTCACACAAACCCATTCACTGCATGTTAATATTTACTCTAACTTGTTCTTCCCACACAACATAATTTAGCAACTGATTCACTTCACATCTTACCTCGTCATACGATGGATGGTTGGGGTTGGGGTTTTCGGTGGCGTTGTCGGCCAGGGGGGGCATGTGATTGTTTGCTTCGAGGGTGAAGGGGACGCTGGCAGAGATCGCCGGAGGAGCAGGCGGAGCAGGAGGTGGAGGAGAGATCCAAGTTGGGTCCATGGTGAGAGGGTAGATTCGAAATTAGAGAAATGGATTGAGAGAGAGAAAGAGATAGATATTACTGAACCAAGTGAAGGAAGAGAGAGATAGAGTGAGAAAAAGGGGGTTAGGTCATAATTCTAATAAGTGCTTTTTCCTTTTTATAAAAAGAAGGGAGTAACTTACGGGCTAGTTCGATGTGGGTCGGGTTAGGACCCGCGGGTTGGCCCGAAAAACTCCTTGTGTTCACTGTTCATGCTTTCTGCCGGTTAGTTTTCTTGTTCAATTCAGTTGTCCGAAAGGAAAATTTTTCAGTTTTATAGAAACTTTGTTAATGTTTTTAGTATAAACAAGGAATTTAAAATTTGTTTGTTGTTTTTTAATCGAAAATATTTAATTTTAATTAATTTACACTTACATTTTAATTATTTTAATGATTTAAATTTATTTTAATGACAATTCACTTTAATTATTGAGAAATAATTGATTTTTTAAAATATTTAGCCTAATTTAATTTATTTTAAATATCATTTTATTTTTAATATTATAAGATAAAGTGTTTTTTGTTTTATTTATTTTAGTTAAATTTTTAAAAAATTTCTTATAGCTAGATTAGTGTGTGTGTGTGTATTTATGCAAGTTCAAGTAAGATTTAAAAAATATATCCTTCTCTTATCATCATAAATGAATAGAAGTATCTGTGTGGTTGGAGGTTTTAATGAATTAAAGCGAGGGCAAGAACATCAATGAAATATTCAAAATTTTAGTTCACGAGAACAAATTTTAAAATTTAAACAGACCCCAACCTCTCCCTCTCCCGCTCTTTTTTTTCAAACTAGTGGTGGTGCATATGTTGGAATTATTTGAAATGGTCCCGCAAGACACAGTACAGAGACATGTCTACTAAATAATGTTTACTATCGTTGTTGTCTTATGAAATTACTAGAGTTCCCTGTTGGAATTTTGGATTGGATCAATAAACAACACTGAAGCATGGTAATTTATACGCTGTTTGTTGGAATGTTGCTAAGAGTGCAAAATGCTGTTGTATTTTTGCTTTTTAAATGTAATGTCACCTTGTTAGAGAGTTAAAATGTTATGCGATCTGCTTATTTCATTGAAATTAAATTTCATTAAAAATTATACTGACTTGTACTGTATAAATATATTAAAAAAAGACATAAATTCTGTCATTTTATACTTATTGACATTATTTATTATTAAAATCTTCTGGCAAGGAAGTCTGTGAATGGGTGTATCAGTCTGCAGCATGCTTTGGGAAGAGATTGGGTCTTCTTAGCTAATGAAAAGGACCAAACAATTTTCAATTGCATTTGTCACGTAAACAGTAACATAAAAAATTAGACCGTTACAAATTAATTTGTTGGGGCCTGTGGGGTGGTAACATATAACAAGAACTAATAAGTAAATAAAGTGTATTTTTAAAAAATCTCTTACTGCATATTTAACTATTACATCTACATATATGACTCCAGTCGAATATTAATTAAATTAGATAAGAAATAAAAAAAATATTTTTTCAAATAATTATTTCTAATTTTTTTAAAAAAATTATGTTCTCATTTAGAGTTTAAGAATCATGTAAAATTAATAGTAGGACCTGTATAGAATGTAATATCTCCTTTACGTGAAGAAAAAGGAAAAATTACTTATTCAACTATCTATTGACAATTTTATCCAATGTGTTGTGTTTTTTTTTTTTTTTCTTGCTTGTTGGGTGGTTATTTATAAACACGCCATTAAAATTATATTTAGAGATTTTTGAGATCATTGTGATCTATAAGTTGCTGCTAAAGTTATATGATGCAGTCACATTAATTAATTTGAAAACCAATATTTTTCAATTAAAATTTGTTTGTTTTAATTAAAATAAATATAACTTATGTTTAAATATAAAAAAAAAAGTGTCTCTATGTTAAAATAATTTTTTCTACAAATAGATGAGAATAATGCATGATTTTTCTTTGTTTTTCTTTATATTTCTTAATCCAAATAACTATTTTTTTTCTCAAAAAAATACTTTCTTCCTTCAAATTCATTAATTCAATTACTCTTGTTTGATATTCAAATAAATAAGAATAAATTCATGTCATTTAATTGTGATTTTTTTTAAAATTATCAAATTATCTTTTAACTCAGCATTAACCAACGAAACTTGCAGTGTATACTGTGAATTATAACTTAGCGGTCACAAAGGATTACAAAATATATCATTGTAGAAGCAGACTCTTGAATGGATTTATTCTAGTCACCACCTTTGTTTGTATGCAGTATGCTAGTTCTGGATCAGTTATGATAGATGAAATTACACGAAACCATCACTAAGAGAAGGAAATAGTGTTGCTATGTTATAGTCAAACATAGTTACTATATGGTAATTTATTGGTATTTTAACTGTAGACAATGGAAGGGGACATTAGTTCTTTGTCTCAATCCATTAGAATGGAAATGGAATGATTAATCTATTTTTTTCACTTTGTTACTAATAAAGATTCAGGAAATACTAGATCTTTACCTACACAATCAAATTGTCAACCATTTCACTTTAAAAATGATAAATTGTACATTATATTGTTATGCCTCATCAACTAACAAGAAATTTACAAGTTAGATGTAGTATTGTACACATGTATTTTTAAAAATTAAATATAAAATATTCTTTTAAAGCTTTATAATGGCCTTTTATATAGAACTTTTAATTTAGATTATCAAACTTGATGTCTTCATGCAAGTCATGCAATAAGTTATTATATTTAGTCATTTTATAAGAAATGGATATAATAATTAAAATTAATAAAAAATAATTACATGTTATGAATTTATATTTTATTTTAAAATGCATATAATATTAAATGATCAAGTTAATGTATTATATGTTAAATTAATAAATACACTTTTATAAATAAAGAATGTGTGTTTTATAAACACAAATCTTATAATAAATAATGGTATAAAGAATTAGTAATTAATATTTCCAAAATTAAACTTTATTTCTTATATTTAAAATTAAAAAATATTGATAATTTTTTTATTATAAAAGTTGTAAGCAATGTTAAATAAACTAAGTTTAATAAGATTTATATTTAAAGTAAGTAAATTTTACGTTAAGTGTCAGTTTTATTGACTTGCTCCTCTTAACTTATTTGATAACCAAGTAGATTGGTTTTATTAAAATTCCTTATCCAAATAGAAGTTATTTCTCGATATTAAATAAATTAATGATAGGTAGACTACTTGTTTTTTTTGGTAATATACCTTCGGTTATTTTAAAATTATTAAGCATAATTCTTATAATTTTGTTAATTTAAGTTAGTGTGACTGGACTCAAAAATATTTAATTTTTTTAAAAAAATAAAGCACTATTCTATCTATTTTATATAAATGTCCTTTAAACACTTTTTATTTGCAATTTATTATTTGGCATTTTTTTATATTATACATAAAAACAAACAATCCTATTCAACTCAAATTGAATTATTATAAATCACAATATTATTTGTCTAAATATTCAATGTAATTATATTATTTAAACTTAAAATTTAAAATTATATATTATATTAAAATAATTATTTATCTGATAGTCTATATATTCAATAATAAATTATTTGTCACTATAAAATATCAATAAAATGTTTATTACTTTTTTTAATAGTATCCTTATTCATTGAAAATATCTTTAACCAATTTAACTGGATTAACTTTTTACCAAACTATTGCCATAACTTCATTTTTTATTGAAGTATTCTAAGACTAGTTTATTTTATTATAATAATTAACAAAACTAGTTATTTTTAACATACATATGTTAGTATGAGATGACATATAATATATGTTAAATGAAGTATTCATAATTGAAAATGTAAAATTATATTAAATATTTTTTTAAATAAAGATTTGATTTTTAAATGTTTAAACTTTAAAAGTTAAAATTGATAAGAATATATATATATATATATATATATATACATTATTTAAATAAAATACAATCAATAATTTTTACTCGAATTTTTTTATAAAATATAAAACACACTAGTTTAAATGCTGAACCGTGTAATATTATTTGTATAATTACATCGCATATAAAATTTTGTATACTTTGAACATTTGTAAATAATTATCAAACATTTAACATTATTTATATTTTTTAATAACATATTATATGTTAAAATAAAGTTGTGGAGAGGCTTTCGTGTCAAAGGAAAGGTTCAGTTTTATATTTTGGGCATAAATGACTTGGCTCTGATTGCTTATGCAATATGTGTTATTATTATATTATATGTTATTATTTTTTGGGCATAAATAAAACTCTTATTTTATTATATGTTATTATTTTTTTTCATGAACGATATGCATATGTCTTGAAAAAATGTGAAGCAATTTTTTTCCCTAGTTTTTACATTGCATATTAATAATAGCTTTCACATGACAAAAGCTATTTAGAAATGTCAAACTTTTTCAGGTTGGGTTACGTTGCAAAATGTGATTGGAGGTTGTTGAAATGTGCTCAATAATTGTATTCTGTGTTCGGCTGCTGACAAAGCCTTTTTATTTTATTTTATTTTATTTTTATAGCAGACACCATCTGTCAAGCATGTTACATTAAATTTTTAAACATATGTTTTTCTTTTCCTATTTTTCTTTCTATTTAAGTATATATATATATATATATATATATATATATTATTATATATTTTCAGCATGTTATATAATCAAGTTATTTGATTTATTAGCACTTGATTTTAATATATATATATATATATATATATATATTAATTCCTTTGTGCAATTATTAGATAGTTAATAGTTTATTATAATTCAGAATTTAATAAGACAATCATAAATAAACAATTCCGTTTTCAAATAATTTAAATAAATCATATTTTCAAGATAAAAAAATAAAATACATACCACCATGGCATAAAAGTCTAGTAAAAAGAGACAAGGAAAAAACAGCCAACAAAAAGCAGAGAAGTGAGTACATATCATTTTCATAAAACAGGTTATACACACGCGGTCTATATATATATTATTTATTTATTTATCAAGGTAGGTCAAATAACTTGCTTTTCTTATATTAGAAAAATAATTACACAAATATGATGTTTTAAGAAAAAATTACAAGAATATAGAAATTTTTTAAAAATCTTCAATGATCATTTTTAACAAAAAATTGTTAATAACGTTTTTTGGTATTTTATTTTTTAAAAATCACTATTGGTAATATTTGATTTTTGTTTGAAAAATTATTGTTGACAAATTTTAATTTTTTAAAATTGTCATTTGCAAATTTTATACTATGTAACTTTTCATTATTTTATCTCTGAATTACCATTTAGTGATTTTTGAATTTTATATTTTATAATTTATTTAAAAGATTATATTTTGGTATATATTATTTTTAAATAATTTACATAAAAAAATAATTTCAAAACTTCCCATCTCAATGAATACACATTTAAAAGTTAATTTGAAAATTATTTGTATATTTATGATTTATAAAAACAGTTTTATCTCTTATTAACTAATATAATTAATATTATATTTTAATAACTAACTATGAGGTTTTTCTTATGTGTACATGAAGACACAACGTGAAAATACTAATTTTTCTTTTTTATGTATCTATAGATACACCACAAACACACACTTATTATCTTAAAATAAAAAACAGTTAATATTTTGATTTAATAATTAAAAAATATAAAAGTAGAAGGATTTATAATTAACCTTTGAAATTATGCATGAACAATCATAAGAAAGAACCGCGTACGCAATCATCATTCATCAAAGAGAATCGAAATCCATAGTTATTAGTCACTAACAGCTCAATCACACTCACGGCACAGCAAGATTCAAGCTTGCACCCAAAACCAAATAACACAACATGATGCTAACATATGCATACAAATATGAATCCGAGCTACGTCCATAGCAAAAGCTGCGATATCTATTTCTCTGTTTTTCGCATCATTGGGGCAGTGAAAGATAAATAAAAAAAGAAGAAAGAGAAACAATAAAGTGTATTCATTTCCAGTAAGAGAGAGAGAGTAAAGAAAGGGGTAATAAATAAATAGAAAAGGAGGAGAGGGGAATGCGATGCTGGGATTGAGTCAAAGGCGAAGAAAGAGTGAAATAGTAAATCTATGATCTATCTACATGGGTGGTGGAGGAACACTCGTGGAAGGGATTCGACGCTTGTTTCAACGACGCGCTTCTGCTTCTGCTGAAGACCACAGCAATGCCAATAATAGCCGCGTTTACGTGAGAGATTTGCGCGCGCAATTAGCCTCGGTTCCCGACCAGGATCGCCAAACAGACCTTACTGTTCAACAAGATTTTGATTTTGATTTTGATTTCTCTTCCTTGAAGCCCATCAAAGTCCCCACGCAAGCCCTCTTCAGACCTTCTTTCATGGATTCTCACAAAAAGGTTTTTTTTTTTCTTCACCCCATCTCCCAATATATTTTTCTTTTTATGCGATCTGCTTCTGTTCTCTTTTGTTTTATTCTTTGCCTTGTTGGGTACTGCCCAAGTTTCGTTTTTTTCTCTTTTTGTCTCATTGTTATTTGTGTTTATCGTTTGCTGGATCGATTTGGTTGTATTGGCGTTCCTATCTCTTTCTCTCTCTAAAAATCATGGCTTATGGTTACGTTTCAAGTTTTGTCTAGGAATATGGGAAAGGGGAAGAAATGTTAGGGAGATGAATGGAAATTACGTGCTCTGTTGTTTTTTTTTTTATGTGAGAGTAGAGATTGTAATTACTTTCATTGCTGGAGAAGACACCTAGCAGTCGGCAATTGCCTGATGCAAAGGATTTTTGATCTGGAGATTGCTAACCAGTGGTGTGAGGACATATGTTAAGGAATCAAATTTGAAAAAAAATTATGGGAAAATGTAACATTTAATACCATGATCGTTGAAATTTATTGATGTCAATCACGACCCTTTTTGATTCTTTCCTTTCCCAGCCACTTTTCTTAAAGCACTAGTTTAATTGTGTGTTTTCTGCGAAGTACTGATTTTTTTGGCATTGTCAATTTATGTGAATTTCATACATTGCCACCATAGAAATTGCAGTAGGTCAAATGAAGAGATTTGCTTAAGTTACAGTATTCAAATTCTGTTTCCAACAATATTATATAATTGTTTCTGGTTATCGAACAAGGGTGCACCAGAAACAGAGTTTTTTACAGAGTATGGGGAGGCAAGTCAATACCAGATCCAAGAAGTTGTTGGAAAAGGAAGTTATGGTGTTGTGGGTTCTGCCATTGACACTCATACTGGTGAAAAGGTTGCAATCAAGAAAATTAATGATGTTTTTGAACATGTATCGGATGCCACTCGGATCCTTAGAGAAATTAAACTCTTGCGGTTGCTCAGACATCCTGATATTGTAGAAATTAAGCATATTATGCTTCCTCCATCTCGGAGAGAGTTCAGGGATATCTATGTCGTGTTTGAGTTGATGGAATCTGACCTTCATCAAGTAATTAAGGCAAATGATGATCTTACTCCGGAGCACCACCAATTTTTCTTGTACCAACTTCTCCGGGGCTTGAAATATATACATACAGGTATGGTATCCTTATGACCAGATCCTTGACCTTTTCAGATAGCAATATTAATTTAATATAGTGTTTTTTTTTTTCCTTTTTTCTTTTGCAGCAAATGTGTTTCATCGTGATTTGAAGCCAAAAAATATTCTTGCTAATGCTGATTGCAAATTGAAGATATGTGATTTTGGACTTGCTCGAGTTTCATTTAATGATGCTCCATCGGCTATATTCTGGACTGTGAGTGCTCCCTTGCATAACCATGTTGAACTATTGCATTTATCAATTCTGTGCCAACTTTTTAAGATTTTCAGTAGTAAATTGCAATCTGGGTATCTCTCTAAACCTCTTGCTGACTCAGTTTACCTACTACTTTAACTAAGGATTATGTTGCAACTCGGTGGTACCGTGCACCTGAACTATGCGGTTCTTTTTTCTCAAAAGTAAGCCTATTCTTCTCTTAACAACATCTTCTCTTGGCTTGTGTATGATTATAAGTTGAACACGCTTGATGTATTGAAATATGCATGTAATTTTCAAATCTGTCTTTTGCAGTATACCCCTGCAATTGATATTTGGAGCATTGGATGCATATTTGCAGAAATGCTCACTGGGAAGCCATTATTTCCTGGGAAAAATGTTGTGCACCAATTGGACCTCATGACTGATTTGCTTGGCACTCCTCCTCCTGAGTCAATTTCGAGGGTTAGTTTATCAAAATCTAATTTGCAGTTTTCTGAAACCAATACATCCTGCAATAAGAGTAGTTCTAAATTTCTAGCATTTTATTTTTAAAAATTCTTCCATTTTTGTGTTTCTAAGATACACTTTGTGGTGTATTGTAATAAATACCATTCGGGCTTAATTTTTCTTCCTCTCCCCTGTCCTCTATTATATAAATTCTTAATCTTAATTTTACAGATTCGAAACGAGAAAGCTAGAAGGTATCTTAATAACATGCGAAAAAAGCAACCAGTTCCATTGTCCCAAAAATTTCCAAATGCAGATCCGTTGGCTCTTCATCTGCTGGAGCGCCTACTTGCATTTGATCCTAAAGACCGTCCAACAGCTGAAGAGGTTGATCTCCTATCACCTAAATATCATTGTCTAAGGGGAAGTTTCATTGACAATTACCTAAGAGGGTATTTCATCGTGTCTTATGCTTTTGGTCTCAGGCGTTAGCTGATCCTTACTTCCATGGTTTGGCGAACGTGGACCGGGAACCATCCACTCAACCCATTTCAAAACTTGAGTTTGAGTTTGAGAGAAGGAAATTGACCAAGGATGATGTTAGAGAGTTGATTTATCAAGAGGCATGATCATACATTTATCAGTCACTCTTGCGTCAATTTATTGTCTTCTTTGTGCTGTGATAATAATTATTTGACTATTTTAATCTGAACAGATTTTGGAGTATCATCCTCAGATGCTCCAAGAATATCTTCGTGGTGGAGAGCAAACTAACTTCATGTATCCAAGGTAGATGCTTTAGTATGCTTGACATTTTATTGAAGGCTTGATGCATGTACCAAAGCATCCATTGACCACCTGTCCTGTCACAGGGGACTAGGCATAGTCTTTCATTGCTGTATAATTTTCACTGTACCTAACTTTATAAATGTTATTAGGAGCCCCTGCATGCATTTATTGCTGTTGCACACTTGCACTGAGATTCTTGCAAATATCCATACCGAGCTAGAATTTCAATTAACACAGCACCAGCATGCTTATTTTACTTGGCATACTTTTTAAATCATAATTCCTTGTGAATAAATTTTTGTTGGTGCTCTAATATGGAATGTGCACAATTTGAAAATTAAGTTTACATGTTTAAGTTATTAGTTGGTAATTCTTTGTTATCTTGTTGCATAGTGGGGTTGATCGGTTCAAGCGACAGTTTGCACATCTTGAAGAGCATTATGGCAAAGGTGAACGAAGTACTCCGTTGCAGAGACAGCATGCTTCCTTACCTAGGTAAATGTTGGTTAAACATTTGGTTCTCTAAGCAGTTCCTAGTGTTTTCAGAATTATTTTCTCGGTCCAAACTTGGTGAACCTGTTCAAATACTGGATTGCCAACTTGCACATTGAACAACTACTCTTGTCGTGTTCTTCTGAAGATTTAATTTGTTTTATATGTTGTAATTACTCTCAGGTAATGTTTAGCTCAACTTATTCTGGACTTCTCTTTTCTTTAAAAGGAAAAATTGGGCCAAATAGATTTTTAAAAAAGGGGCTTTTAAAAAGTATGTTTTTAATAAAGATAGCTTAATGAAAAGAAGCTATTAAGAAAGTTTGTTTTTGGAGCTTCTGGGTTCTACTTCTCATTCTCTTATTTATAAACTTTAAACTTTATAGTAACATATAAATTCAGGAAAAGTTAGCCAAACATTACCTGATGGGTTTTAAATTTAAATTCAGATTATTAATGTGTGTTGACAGACAGGTTGGTTGGCAGACAAGCTTGTGAACCTTTTGTGTGGTACTGTCATATGCATTTGACCATTGAAATTTCACTTCTTGCAGAGAACGAGTTTGTGCTCCCAAGGATGAAAATAATCAAAATAACGATTTTGAAAGGCCGACTGGATCAAATCTTCAAAGTCCTCCAGGGTCTGAAGTAACAGATGCGCAAAATGGAACCTCAAAACCAAACTGTAGTGCACGTAGCTTGTTGAAGAGTGCCAGTATCAGTGCCTCCAAGTGTATAGAAGTGAAACGAAATAAAGATCCAGAGGTAGCTTACTATACCTTTTCACTTGTATGGCTCTTAGCTAGAGGTTTTGAAATAATTAGAAGAGAGGGGTTTGCAACACACTATCTGACCTCCTCTTTCCAACACATTATCTGTTATTAGTTAAAATTTATTGGAACTTATGAAATAATGAGTGAGACTCATTTAATAAGTGGAATCCACATTATTTCGTGAGGCCTAATAAATATGGTAAAGAATGTTGAAAGATAAATCATTTTGAGTTTCGGTGTTCTGCTAAGTCAGTCAGCAAAATAGGCTGGCCTGAATAAGCTTGCTAAAATAGGGCTTAGGCTGTACTGTTTAGGCCTGAAAAAGGAGTGAAGTTTTTTTGGCCCAGCCCGATAGACCCTGAAGTGGGCCGGCTCTATGCGGAGTAACCTATTTTGCTGCCACCTCTAGTGCTTTTTTGACATCTTACATTTCTTGATATTTAGAATTCATGTATATAGCGAAAATGAAACCTTACATAACATCATTCTCTATCTTTTGCTACTTGTTTAAACCTCACATATCTTTCGGGCTTATTCAATGCCGATGTTGGTAAACTATCTGAGCAAGAACATCACACATCTATCTTATAACGATTTCTGGTGTTTACATTCAAATTTGAACTAAAAAGAATATATACATTTGTCATATTATTATTGCTTTTGCACTAGCAGGAGTCAATTGCGGAGGTGAATGAGGAGACAGTGGATGAATTAACAGATGAGGTTGCTGCTCTGAATGCTTTGATGTAGCTTCCTTTCCGATAAGGGAAAGAGCCGGTGGTTTGAAGAACTACATGGAAATCCTTTACGTTGTTAGTGGTAGAAGCGTAATCTAGGACTCCATAGTCATGAACTGCTAATGCTGTTTTGTATTACTGCTGTAAGTTTTGTAATTAAGCATTAATTTGTGTACCGAAACGCAATGTATACTACTTATAATTTATAATGAAGCAACACGAATGAACGATTTCAGTTACGGTAGTTTCTTTACTGTTCTAGCTTTTTATTATTAATTTTATGTTTTAACCACAACAAGTAGTTTTGGGTGCTGCTCTGCCGGTATTGGTTGGGAATGGGTTAACACAGCGACAGGGTCCATGCTACATGGTTCTCATGGTTAGTCATGTGCTTATGCTCATTGTTCTTTTTGAAGTGTGTTTAAGGTACACACATATTGAGAAATATGATTAGTATGTGTTTTTTTAATAACAAAGAACTATTTTGTACAAATAATTCTCAAAAATTGCGTGTTGTGCCATCCACGGTAGGGCTCATTTGGATGACACCAAAATTAGTTTCACTCACTTTAACATTTTTCAATGTATCATTGGTAGTTGAGATTATTTTTTTTGGATTACACCTTTTCTCTTTTGCATTGTTGATTATTTTACCTAATATGATTGGTCCATTTGTTTTATACCTATTTCATTAGTATCTACTAAAATAAATGAATACTTCTCTTTTGATTTATATGTTATATCACTTATCAACTATAATTATTATTATTATGGCACTGGGTAAGAATGTTTCCTATTATTAGTTGCCACTAATTAATGTTATGTCTTTATTTGCATAGAAAATTGGTGATCTTCATAGGAAAGAGTCGGCCGAAGATGATCCACTTAATATCCTAGGCATGTTTCACTTCATTGGGTTAATATGCCAAGTAGCCAATAGTCTAGATGGGTAAATGAATTTATGAGTTGGCCTAATTAAGCTCAGGCTTACATGAATTTGTGAAATACATAACTAAAACGATGGCAAATACAAGTTGGTATGTTTGACCATGGGACTAGGCGAACTGGTGTTTACTAGGCTGAATATATATTTTTTTGGGTACATGGCACTGTGTGCTGTTAAAGTATTTCACCTTAACTCCTAAAGGACACCCTATTTTACTTGTTGCATAAATCCAATAACTCAAAGAAGTTTTCAAGTCACATGCTTTGCAAATTTAAATAATTTTTTGGCCGCATATATGAAAATTTGAAAAATGCCTGGTTAGAAGAGATAAAGCCACTTTTGTGATCTGTATGTGACTGTTAGCTAGAAGATATCATTGCTGTACACCAAAAAACAAAACCCAACTAAATAAAATCTACCAACTTTTAAATTTGCCGCACAAGGTGTGGGTTTATATTTATTATAGTTTTCTTTTTGGACGAGGTGGGGGTGGGAAGTAAGTGGCAACCCATGTAAACAAGTAGTTGCTGTCGCGATCAGATTTACTTCTTAGGTACCCATACTTCGACAAGTTGCTTGTATTATGAAGGGTATTCCACTAGGTGTCAGCTTACCCTTGGATTTATTCTTTGCATGTCATACATGATGCAATTCTATTAACTTCTCTGTGATGTAATTCAAGGAGATGCCGGATTCCAACTTTCATCAGACGATGATACTTTGTGACTGAAAAAGTCTCAGTAATTAATATTTTCTGATAACTTTGTCGTTCTATTCCTTCACGTGGATACTGATTCCATAACGAGCATGGCAATCATAAATGAGCTTATCACTGCTCTTAACACTTCTTCGATCACATAAAAGTAGACCCAAATATTGCAACTAATCAAGTTTCACCACGTCTTTCCATTCTTACCAATAATCCCCACAGGAACAAACACCATTATTGAAGTGGTGAAAGCGGTGAGAATCCCTTAAGATAATCAGCCTTCCAACAATCTTGGATATGTACTTGATGGCATTATGACAGTCATGACAAACACGCAAGTTTTTCATGACACGGATTGGTCTGCCAGGCGGTATAGTCAGAATTCCAAACGCTACAGCTAATTTCTCACTGTGATACTTGAGCATATGCTCCTTTTCTTCCTCTTCCACATCATGCAAAACCAACTTTGTTGAAGAAATATATCCCTCGCGCCTCATTTTTAGATCTAGCTCTTCTAAGAAGGCATATATTCTATGCTTTTCCGGATGGAAACAATCTGCGACTGCAAACGTATGAATCTTGTTTTGTACCTCAACCCAACTATACCCAGTTACTTTCTGCACACCAACATCCTTCATTTTTGATCTCATCTTGCCAACATCGACCCACCTGCCTGAAGCTGCATATAGATTTGAAAGAAGGACATACATCCCTGAGTTATGAGGTTCCATCTTAAAAACCATCTCAGCAGCCTTCTCACCTAGTTCAGTATTTCCATGAATCCGGCTTGCACCTAGCAGTGCTCCCCATGATGCAGCACCTGGCTGAAAAGACATGTTTCTCATTAAGTTATCTGCTTCTTCCAGGCGACCAGCTCTTCCTAGAAGATCAATCATGCAAGTATAATGTTTCGAAGTTAGCGTCACACCGTAATCCCTATTCATTGAATAGAAGTATTCAGTTCCCCTGTCTATCAAGCCAGAATGACTACACGCAGACAAAACGCCAACCTGAAATATGATTAGAAGAACAAGCAGAAAGTTATAACACGTAGAAAAGGGAAAAAATAGGCATTCTACCACTGATTTGTTGATGAAACAACATTAACAGGTCATTTTTAGTTCATTTCTCAGTGCTAGATGATTGTTATCAGGCTTGTTTACATGACAGAGGAAAGGGAAACTTCTATAAGGGCTGGGACCACCTATCTGACCCTATCCAATTATTAAGGTCAAGAACATTAACACTATATATTGCAGCAGTGTCAATTTCTTCATGGACAAATGACAAAGTAACAACAAAAATTAAAGTATCAGGAGTCCACGATGAAAGTAACAATATAACAGGAAAACAATAAACTTTATTCTGTTCATAGAAATTATATTGTGACAGGACTCAGGCTCCATATTGTGCATGCACTATAATACCAACTAGGCATTTCCACGGGAGATGATTAGTCATATTAATCAAGAATTTTTTCAATTCTGACTAAGTTGTAAAGTGGCCATTTATAAATGAAACTGTAATTAAGTAAATATAAAGTGGTGATGATATTGGTTCAAACTTCCACACAACTGGATGAAATAGTAGAAATTCATGCAAATGATAAGCTCTAAATATCTAAATGCATATGAAATGTACAGAATGTCTACCATAGTAATCTCATCGGGTTTAACACCTGCTTTCTTCATTGACTCAAACACCACTAAAGCCAGCCTGCCAAATCCATGCCTGGCATAACCAGCTATCATTGTGTTCCAAGAGACAATATCTTTCTCCTCTATTCCTTCAAACACATCATTTGCTTCACCTGTGCTTCCACATTTAAAATACATCGCAACAAGTGCATTTCCCACGAAACTCCCAGTCTCAAATCCTGTCTTCACCACCTGCCCATGAACTTGTTTCCCTAACTCCAAGGCTGCAATATCAGCACATGTGCTCAATGCACAACTAAAAGTAGACCTATTTGAACTTTCTCCGTCCCGTTTCATCTCCACAAACATGTTTAGAGCCTCTTCATAATGACCATTCTGAGCATAACCAGCAATAATAGCCGCCCAAGATACACAATCTCGCTGAGGCATCAGATCAAACAACTTCCTAGCTTGAGCTATACCTCCATTCTGACCATAGCCGGTAATCATGGTATTCCATGAAGCTATATTCCGACAAGGCATTGCCTCAAACAACTCCCTAGCCATCTCCATTTTCTTGTGTTGGACATAGCCTGCAAGCATTGCATTGTAAGAAATTTCATTTTTTACAGGCATTTCATAAAAAACCTTTCCGGCTTCATCCAATGCTCCATTCTGAACATATCCAGACACCATTGCTGTCCATGTGAAAACATCCCTCACCGGAGACTCATCGAACAACTTCCTAGCCTGCGACAAATCTCCATTCTGGGCATAACCCGAAATCATAGTGTTCCAGGAGATTACATCCCTAACAGGCATTTGATCAAAAAGCTTCCTAGCATTACCTAACATCTTCCTCTTCACATACCCACCCATCAAACAATTCCAAGAAATCAGTTCCCAGTCCAATTTGGACTCAAACAAGCTACGAGCTTCCTCAAGCCTCCCATTCTGAACATACGCTGCAAGCAGCCCATTCCAGGAGATGGAATTCTTATGAGGCATCTTATCAAAAACCTCCCTTGCCTCACCAACAAACCCATTCTGCGCATACCCAGATAACATGGCATTCCAGGAAACAACGTCCTTCTCAGGCATTAAAGCAAACAACTTGCGGGCATCGCCGAGTCTGCAGTTCCTGACATACCCAGTAAGCATAACATTCCAGGAAAACAAGTCCCTTTCAGGCATTCTATCAAACAGATCCCTTGCAAGGGTGAATTTGGCGTTCCTCAAGTACCCAGATATCATGGTGTTGTAGGAAACAGAGTTCCGACGAGGCATAGAGTTGAAGACACGAAGAGCAGACTGATAATGGCCATTGTGCATGTGGGTGGAAATGGCTTTGTTCCATGTCACAATGTCAGGGTCTTCGAATTTCACGGAGTTGTTGGAAGATGCAGAGTGGCTTCTTTTGCTTGGTTTCCTACTCCTACTCTTACTCATACACACAGAATGTGAGTTGCACGTACGCAAGTGTCTCACAACATAGTTCCTGTGCATTATATTGAATGTGATCATCAACAACCACCACTATACAAACATTGTGTTTCGACTTTCTTATTGTGCTGTCTTCAGCGTCAACTTATTCAAATTAGTGAGTATAAATTGTATTTGAATATAATTTAAGACCGTATTTTAAAGATGAAAATAATGATACATGAAAGGAATACGACCAGTGCAGTACTGGTTTAGTTAATCTTTGTGCTGCTACCATCTTCATTTATAATCAATAGTGATTATTTTACCAAGTAAACAAGGAATAAATATTGTGATTAAAAGGTTAAAAATGAAAAAAATATAATAAAAAGTGGGCATGAAAAAAAAATCCTTTAAAATTAGTTTTAGTAAATATGTAATTTTGTCTAAAAAAAATATTGTGTTCATTTAATTTTTGGAAATTTTTGTGTATATAATTTAGTTTTGGAATTTAATAATTTTATGTTAAATTAATCATTATAACATGAAGTAAAACAAAATTGAGGTCATATTTATCATAATTTTTATTTTAAATCTAATTAGTTTATTATCAACTTGACATATTTAAAATTATCAAGCATGTAGATAAATTGATAGAGATTATTTTTATTTAAACTGTGGTTTTGGTCTCTTAATAAAATAATAATTTCTCAGGTTATAAATTTTTTTTTTAATAATTTGAAGACTTCACATCTATTTATATCGACACTGATCTCCTTTTTGTGTCAGCTCATTTGCTCTACTATTTTATAATTATCTGGTTGTGTCTAGATTTAAAATATAACACATGACTTGTTGATTATTTCAAATAATCTTAAGTTAAAAGAAATTTTATATTTTTTTAAAGAATTTTTTATTGATAATATAAAATAATATTAATAATAATAAAAATTTAGTTTGAGTTAGTTCAATAACCACATCCATATATGCATCAATTATAAATTAATAAATACGATATATTAATATTTATCCAATAAATATTATTACATATATATTAATCTATCTGAATTATTAATATTCTATTTATAATAATCATATAATAAAGAATAATTTAGATTAAATTGTGAAAGATGTTTTTTATTTTTTCAATCTTTATTATGATAACAAGTTTTTAAGTTAATCAAGAACCTTTGTTAAATAAACTATTACATCAAAATACTGTATATATAATAAAAAAATAATAATATTTTATTATTATAACTAAAATGAACTTCATGCTAACTTTAGTCTTGAGCATACACACTAAATGAATTGTTTTTATTTTAATAAGGCCGTCTAAAGTCCAAAAATATTTGAATGCAATAAAACACAAGTTTTTTTACAAAAAGAAAAGACAAGTAAGTCACAATCAACATGACTCTTTATTAATAAAAGATAATAATGATTAAATTAATTCAAATCTAATTCAATTTATTATAATAATATTTTATATTTTTATTGAGTAATATCTTTATTTATTTTAATTTTAAAATAATTTTATATTTAAATATAACAATAATTATCTTTTTTATTTTATTCTTGATGTTAGTTTTTAAAGTTCTTTTAACACCTTCAAATCTTTATTGGACTTTCTTGAATTCTCATTGTACATAAATATTAAAGAATTAATTTAATAGAGATCACTAATTTAAAAATAAAATTATGTATTTACTTATTTAGCCTATTCATTAAAATACATAATGATAAAATAAACAAAAAGAAGACAGTATTTTTCTATTGCTAAGTTAGTTATAAATTCGTAGTCTAAAAAAAGAAAAATTATTTGAACCAATTATAAATAAAATATGTGGTTCAGTTTGAATTGGTTTGAGAATAATATTAACATTAAATTAATTTAAATTAATATTTTCCTATTTAAATTGGATTTTTTTTATTTTTTAAACTTTTAAGAGATAATTTTTATTTTTTGGTTAATACATAAATAATTTTTTATTAATTAGAGTATGAGTCTCAAATTAGTATATAAATTATTGTAGTAGCTAATATTTCATTTAAGAGATAAAGCTTATTAAATAAAAAGTTAAATATATAATAAAAATGAAAAAAAAAACTTGTTATAAGTGTTAAATATGATTATAAATTTCAACTTACTTTAAATTACAAATCATAAAATAAAATAAAATACAAATATATTTAATAAAGTATATTTTAGATTAGTGTTTATATAAGGATATAAGCAACAAATTAATATAAAATTAGAATGCTTGTGGTTCAATTTGATTTTGAAGATGAGAGTCGAAATTAAACCAAATTGTAAGAGGAAATAATAACTTTATGCTCTTTAACTATTCTGATTAACAATTTATTTGATTTTTTATTTTTGTTGAATTTATTTAGTAGTTTAAAATGATTTAGATTGATTCTTCGCCTTTAATAAAAATATAAGGAGAAAGAAAATAGGGTGAAGGGACCCACTAAAAAATATGCTGCCTAAAACGTGTTAAATAAGAGGACTAGAGGAGTGAGGAACTTTCTTTTTTATTTTAATTGTTTAAAAAATAAAACTAATATTTTTTATAACACAAGAATACAAAAATAAATAATTATTTTCTTTTGAAAAAGTTAATTAAAACATGCACTTAATGTCTTAAATTTTCCTTAACATTTTTTCTCTCTTGCTATCTCCTCTCTTCATTATTAACAACTAATTTTAAACCCATACTATAAATTTTAGTATTTTAAATTATGAAATAAAAATTTTAGTTAGTCTCAAAGTCAATAATTTCTGTGCTTAAAACTTCATTTTCCCCTAATAAAGTTAATAAAGTTTCAAAATTAGAAAAAATAAAAAAAAACTTTGATTAAATTTATTACGTATCTAATCATGAAGTTCTTGAATAAAAAAAATGAATGGATGTTTTTTTTTCCCTAATTTGAATATATACTTTTAACAAAAAATAAATTTAATATTTTTAAAAAGATTTATTTCGTCATTTGATTTGAAAACTTAGTGATAAAACTATAAGTAATTTAAATTAAGTTTTGCTCTTCAAAATTAAGAGTAGCAAAGAGAGGAAAAGTGTGAATAGAAATTGTCGCCGTTACGAGATTCGAGTACGTTTTAAAAGATTAAAGTATAAGACATTTTTATCTCTCAAGGAAAAAAGTGAAAAATTTGAAATAAAGTATAATTATTTATTTGAACATTCATCAAGGAGAATAGTACACTTTGCTTTAAATTATTTTAAATAAGAATTTTATCAATTTTAATTTTTTTTAATGATTATGTATCTGTCACGATAAAATAGTTTCTACTTACTCATCCTAAGGGAGGGTACAATTTATACTTAAAATTATGTTGATTTTTCACCACAATTCTCCATCATTACCAATAATCCCCACAAGAACAAACACCGTCACTGAAGTGGTGAAAGCGATAAGAATCCCTTAAAATTATCAACCTTCCAACAATCTTAGATATGTGTTTGATGGCGTTATGACAGTCCTCACACACACGTAAGTTTTGCATGACACGTATTGGTCTGCCAGCTGGTATAGTCAGGATTCCAAATGCTACAGCTAATTTCTCACTGTGATACTTGAGCATATGCTCCTTCTCTTCCTCTTCCACATCATGCAAAACCGACTTTGTTGAAGAAACATACCCCTCACGCTTCATTTTTAGATTTAAATCTTCTAAGAAGGCATATATTTTACCTATTTCTGGGTGAAAATGATCCCCAACTGTGAATGTATGAATCTTGTTTTGTACCTCAACCCAACTATATCCGGGTATTTTCTGAACACCAACTTCCCTCATTTTTAATCTCATCTTACCAACATCAACCCATCTACCAGAAGCTGCATATAAATTTGAAAGAAGGATATACATTCCTGGGTTATGAGGTTCCATCTCAAAAACCATCTCAGCAGCCTTCTCACCCAGTTCAGTATTGCCATGAACCCGGCTTGCACCTAGTAGAGCTCCCCATGTTGCTGCATCTGGCTCAAAAGGCATGTTTCTTATTAAGTTGTGTGCTTCTTCTAGGCGTCCGGCTCTGCCAAGAAGATCAATCATGCAAGTATAATGTTTTGAATTTGGTGTTATACCATAATCTTTATGCATTGAAAGGAAATATTCAGTTCCCTTGTTTGTCAAGCCAGTATGACTACAAGCCGACAGCACACCAGCCTGAAACATTATTAAAAGAAGAATAAGCAGAATGTTTTGCTAGTAGAGAAGAGTCAAGTCATGCTGCTGTATTCTAGATAAAACAATAATATTATTAATGCCTCATTGAGTCATTCCTAGTTTACTGGCCAATGCTTTATGGTTGTTATCATAGTTGTTTACAAGCAGGAAACCACATAAAGCAATTATTAACTCATTTGCACCTGTGGAAAGAAAACTTAACTGAAAGGTGGGGATAACTTTAGAAATGAAAATACCAAATAGATGAGGAAAACACTGTAACTTGTCAGAAATGCATAAAATATGTACCATGGTAATGTCATCGGGTTTAACACCTGCTTTCATCATTGACTCGAACACCATTAAAGCCTGTCTGCCAAATCCATGCCTTGCATAACCAGCTAACATTGTGTTCCAAGAGATGACATCTTTATGTTGTATTCCTTCAAACACATCATAAGCTTCATCTATGCTGCCACATTTACCATACATTCCAACAAGTGCATTCCCCACTAAACACCCATTCTCATACCCTGTCTTCACCACCTGCCCATGAACTTGTTTTCCTAACTCCAAGGCAGCAATATCAGCACACGTGCTCAAAGCACAACAAAAGGCAGATCGATTTAAATTTTCTCCATCTCGTTTCATCTCCACAAGCATGTTCATAGCTTCTTCATAGTGACCAGTCTGAGCATAACCAGCAATAATAGCCGCCCAAGATACAGAATCACGCTGAGGCATCTTATCAAACAAGTTCCTAGCCTGAGCTATATCACCGTTCTGACCATAGCCACTTATCATTATATTCCATGAATCTATATTCTGACAAGGCATTGCCTCAAACAACTCCCTTGCCATATCGATTTTCTTGTATTGCACATAACCGGCAATCATCACATTGTATGATATCTCTCTTTTTGTTGGCATTTCACAAAAAATTGTTCTCGCTTCATCCAACATCCCATTCTGTACATATGCATACACAATTGCTGTCCATGTGAAGCCATCCCTTACTGGAGACTCCTCAAACAACCTCCTAGCCTGCGACAAATCTCCATCCTGCGCATAACCCGAAATCATGGTATTCCAGGAAATTACATCCCTAACGGGTATTTGGTCAAAAAGCCGCCTAGCATCATCTAACATCCTTTTCTTCACATATCCACCCATCAAACAATTCCAAGAAATCAATTCCCATTCCGATCTGGACTCAAACAAGCGACGAGCGTCCTCAAGTCTCCCACTCCGAACATATGCCGCGAGCAACCCATTCCAAGAGATGGAATCCTTATGAGGCATGGTATCAAAAACTTCCATTGCCTCATGAACGCAGCCACTCCGGACATACCCAGACAACATGGCATTCCAGGAAACAACATCCTTTTCAGGCATTGAATCAAACAACATGCGTGCCTCACGGAGTCTGCGGTTCCTGACATACCCAGTAAGCATTAGATTCCAGGAGAACAAGTCCCTTTCACTGTCAGGCATTTTGTCAAACAGGTCCCGTGCAAGGGAGAACTTGGCGTTCCTCAAGTAGCCAGATATCATGGCGTTGTAGGAGGCAGAGTTTCGAAGAGGCATGGCGTCGAAGAGACGGAGAGCCAAGTGACAGTGGCCATTGCGCATGTGGGTAGAGATGGCTTTGGTGCATTTCACAATGTGTGGGTCTTTGATTTGGGTTGTCGGGGATGACAATGTTGAATAAGTGGTTGCGATTGGGATTGGGAAGCTGCTGCTGCGTAACCGTCTCAGATTATACTTGCCGCGCATCGTTTGCATGTGTCACTCATATTTTGTTGAACTGTGGATGCACCAGCCACCACCTTCTTCCAAGTTTAGCAGCATATTCACTGCACCCTGAAATTACAAAAATCTATCTATCAAATTGAATAAATAGTTCAAATTATTGATAATTATTTCACGTTTTAAATAAATCTAAATTAAACAAAAATGTATGTTTAGTTTAATTAAAATAGATCTGAACGTTGGATTAAAATTTTCATATCAAGCTAAATACAAACAATTTTAATTTAAACTAAAATTTAGTTAAATTTTAAATTAAATTTACAAAATCATGATAATGTATCTATGTTGTAAACAGAGGAGGCTATGTTTAGTTCTGCGTTACCCCAGTGTAATGAAGTTTAAGAAATTAAAAATACTGATTAGCATAATTTGTAAGTCAAATTTTATTATTATTATTTTGTGCATAATAAATTTTCATAGTTTAACTACAAACCAATCAGATTTACACACATGCCAAGTCAGGTCATTCATTTTAAATCTACGTAAGTTGATTTGTTTATATCTTCAGTTGAAGTTGGGTAACATATCCAAATGTGAAATGTTATTTATATAACATAATTCACAAAATTGAAATGATGCTGAAAAGGTGTTCGTGTAAGATTGAATTTGTGAATGAGGCCAATAGCACAATTCACAAGGACGATGGAAAAGGAGAAGGAGAGAGGGAATGAGGAATTTAAATAATGAAACTCCACATTCCCAAGTCATTAAATTTTAGCGCTCCACTTCCATTTTGAAAATTGAATCCGACAAAGGACCAAATCCCATTCAAACTAAAAAGACAACTACTCCTTAGTTCTTACAATACATACAATTAACCTAATCAGTTTCATTCCTCTGTCATCATCACCTACAAACTGCACTCACTCTTTTTCTCTTTCCCCAACATTCAAACTTGAGAGAGAAAGAGCCATGGGTTGCGTCTCTTCCAACCTGCTAAACCAAGACGAAGACTTCACCCAACTGGGTAGTTCAGCACTCGGCCACCACATAGTTTCTCTCACATCCACCACCTATGGTCTCCTCACACTCGACCCTCCACACTCAACCACCCCTTCCACCCCTCCCCCTCGCTTCACCCTCGGCTCCATCTTCCCCACCCCGCTCTCCGAACCTATGTCCCTGCCACGACCCATCCGCTCCGAACCTGAAGTCATCAACTCCTGGGAACTCATGTCAGGCCTCGACGCTGACAGCTTCCGCTTCTCTCCCCTCCCTCCTCCCAAACCCCTCATCATCACCACCGACAAAGAAAACACTAACCCAAACCTAAACCGGTTCGCTCCTCCAACCGGGTCCAGAGTTTTGAACAAACCCGGTTCAGCAAAACCGTCGCTTTCCGAACGTTTCGAGAGGATATGTCCTCCAAACGGAGACAACAGAGTGGTCATCTATACGACGACGTTGCGTGGGGTTCGGAGAACCTTCGAGGCCTGCAACGGCGTGAGAGCGGCGTTCGAGGGTTTCGGGGTGCTGATCTGCGAGCGTGACGTGTCAATGGATAGCGGGTTCAGGGAGGAGCTAAGGACATTGTTGAAGGGGAAGGAGAGAGAGGCGATGGTGCCTCCGAGAGTGTTCGTGAAGGGTTTTTACATTGGTGGGGCTGAGGAGATGTTGAAGGTTGCGGAAGAGGGTCTTTTGGGAGACCTGCTTGAAGGGTTGCCGAGGAAGAAAGTTGGGTCTGTTTGTGAGGGTTGTGGGGATATGAGGTTTTTGCCTTGTTTTAATTGTAGTGGGAGTTGTAAGATGGTGGTGGTTGTTAAGGAAGACGTTTCTGCTCCTTGCAAACAGGGAAGGACAGTTGTGGTGAAGTGCACTGATTGTAATGAGAATGGGTTAGTGCTGTGTCCAGTTTGTAGCTGATTAGTTTGTTACTATAATAATAATGTGTTCATATGGGCTTTGTCCCCTCTTGTAATAGTCATGGTGATGGTGATGTCCCCCAATTCACCATTTTTAAAGTGAAGCTACAAACAGATCTTCCTCCTTCTTTCTTATATCTGCATTGGTTACTAGCAATCTTGCTTTAGTGTTTCTTTTTTTTATCTTTGGTTATTAGATGACGTATATGTCAACGGAATTAATGGGAATTAATGGAAAACAGAATTGGATGGGATTGATTGCACAATTATTTGTAACGGTTATTCTTTTATTTAACATAATTAGCTATAAATGTATATATGGGAGTTTAGCTGATTTATTGGGCTGAAATCAACGTTACAGCTTGTAATATTACTGTATTTATATGAGCAATCTGAATGAGAAGGACACACAGCTCTTGGCCAAATATTTTCTTAATTTGACATGGTATCAGCTTAGGTTACGATCCAAGAACCTCGCCTACGTTCTCGGTTTTTTTTTTCACTTCTATTTCTCAGTCATTTGCTTCCCAGTCCAGATTACTCTAGTTCCATGTCTATCGAAAAGCACGATGTCCTGTTAGTTCGCCTTAACGGTAAAAACTACTCAGCTTGGTCATTCCATTTCAAGATATTCGTTACAGGAAAAGATTTGTGGGGTCATGTTGATGGCAACACTCCAATCCCTGACAAAGACAAAGATAAGGTTGAACATGCCAAGTGGGTAGTCAAAGATGCTCAGGTCATGGCCTGGGTCCTTAGTTCTGTTGACCCCAACATTGTTTTGAATCTTCGTCCTTACAAGACAGCAGCCAAAATGTGGAATTACTTAAAAAAAGTCTACAGTCAAAAGAACACTGCACGACGATTCCAGCTTGAGCACGACATAGCTTCCTTTCAACAGGATAGTCTCTCCATCTCTGATTTTTACTCTCAATTCATGAATCTTTGGGCTGAGTACACTGATATAGTTTATGCAGACTTAACTTCTGAAGGTCTAAGTTCAGTACAAACTATTTATGAAACGACTAAACGAGATCAATTTCTTATGAAATTGAGATCTGACTTTGAAGGTATTTGGTCTAATCTCATGCATCGTGACCCTGTACCATCTTTGGATGCGTGTTTCAATGATCTGTTACGTGAAGAACAACGCCTCCATACACAGTCCATCATTGCAGATCAAAAATCATCTACTGTTCCAATGGCATATGTGGCACGAGGGAAGTCAAGAAGTCATGACATGAGTGTTGTTCAATGTTTTTGTTGCAAGCAATTTGGACATTATGTTTCCAATTGCCCAAAAAAAATTCTGCAACTACTGCAAAAAGCATGGACATATTCTTAAGGAATGCACAATAAGGCCACCAAAGCGAAATGTCACAGCCTTTACCGCCGCAATTGATTCATCTATTCCTGACAATTCAGTCAATGCAGTACCAGTTCAACCAAATCCTCTTGCTACTACTTCAACGGTGACTCCTGAAATGGTTCAACAGATGATTATTTCAGCATTCTCTGCTTTAGGAATCTCAGGTAAATCCTCTTCATCTTGGTACTTTGATTCGGGGGCTTCCAACCACATGACCAACAATGCTCAATTTCTTACAAATGTGAAAAAATATTTGGGCACTCTCAACATACATACCGCTGATGGAAATCAATTGCCTATCACAGCCACGGGTGATATTTCTTCATCTCTCACAGATGTTTTTGTCTCTCCTGGCCTCACTAGTAATCTAATTTCAGTTGGTCAATTAGTCGAAAATGATTGTCAAGTACAATTCTCACAGTCTGGTTGTCTTGTGCAGGATCAACACTCAGGGAAGATCATCGCGAAGGGGCCTAAAGTTGGACATCTTTTCCCAATCCGTTTCTCATTACCTCCAAGTCTTTCTTTGCCTTTAGTTTCTTGTAATTCTGCCTTTGTTGATTACCAAGTGTGGCATAAGCGTCTTGGACATCCAAATGCAAATGTACTTCATGACTTGCTAAAATCTGGTTTTCTTGGAAATAAACACACTCCATCTCTTAATGTTGTTCATTTTGATTGTATTCCTTGTAAGCTTGGTAAGAGTAAAATTCTGCCTTTTCCAACTCATCAGTCTCATACAACACAACCTTTTGATATCATCCATAGTGATGTTTGGGAGGTGGCACCAGTTATATCTCATGCTAATTACAAATATTTTGTAACTTTTATTGATGATTATAGTCGTTTCACCTGGGTCTATTTTTTGCGATCAAAAGATGAAGTTTTTTCCACTTTCAAAAATTTTCATGCTTATGTTCAGACCCAATTTTCATCAAAAATAAAAATATTTCGCTCTGATAATGGAGGTGAATACATGTCACACTCATTTCAGGAATTTTTGCAATCCAATGGCATTTTATCTCACAGGTCATGCCCCTCAACTCCACAACAAAATGGGGTAGCGGAAAGAAAAAATCGCCATTTGCTAGATGTTGTTCGCACCCTTTTATTGGAGTCTCATGTGCCTTCACGTTTTTGGTGTGAAGCCCTTTCCACTGCAGTCCATCTTATAAATAAAATGCCATCTCCATCATTAGGTAATGAATCTCCATTCACTCGGTTACATGGTCACCCACCAAATTACTCCACTCTTCGTATCTTCGGTTGTGTGTGTTATGTCCATCTTCCTCCACAAGAACACACCAAGCTCACTGCATAATTTGTTCAATGTGCTTTTCTTGGATATTCTCCTCATCAAAAGGGCTTTCTATGTTATGATCCTAACCTTCGTAGAATTCGGGTATCTAGAAATGTCATCTTCCAAGAACATACATATTTTTTCGCATCACATCATGATCATGTTGCTTCTCCGATTTCTGTTTTGCCATTGTTTTCCAACTCTCATGCAGGTCAACAATCTCCTAAACCTCTCTTGACATACAAAAGACGTAGTACTACCACTCACATTCAACCAATTGACTCTCATGGATGATTCCTTGGCTGCTGGTCCAGTAGAAGAACTAGAACCAGAATCGGCTCCTCTACGACGCAGCTCACGCGTTCGTAAGCCCCCAGAAAGGTATATCACTTCCATGACAGCATCGTTATCTTCTATTCCTATTCCTTCATCTTATAAACAGGCCATGGAGAATGAATGTTGGCAGCGAGCTATTGAAGCTGAACTTCTCGCCTTGGAAGAAAATCAAACATGGGACATAGTCCCATGTCCATCATCTATTAAACCTTTGGGAAGCAAGTTTGTGTTCTCTATAAAGTTGCGTTCGGATGGCTCTATAGATCGTTATAAGGCTCGTCTAGTTGTGCTTGGAAATAAGCAAGAGTATGGACTAGACTATGATGAGACGTTTGCCCCAGTCGCCAAGATGACAACTGTGCGCACTATTCTTGCTCTTGCTGCATCACAATCTTGGCAGCTACATCAAATGGATGTAAAAAACGCATTCCTTCACGGTGATCTTCAGGAGGAAGTTTACATCAAACTTCCTAATGGTATGCCTACACCTTCGCCTAATACTGTTTGCAAACTAAAACGATCTTTATATGGATTGAAACAGGCACCAAGAGTATGGTTTGAAAAGTTTCGATCGACATTACTTGGTTTTGAATTCACTCAAAGTCAGTATGATCCATCTCTTTTCCTACAAAGGACTCCTCAAGGAATTGTGGTTCTTCTCGTTTATGTGGATGACATTGTGGTAACTGGCTCCGATCAAGATGCTATCTCAAGAATCAAACACCTACTGCATTCAACTTTCCATATGAAAGAGTTAGGCCAACTCACTTATTTTTTGGGTTTAGAGGTGCATTATCATCATGAAGGCATTTTTCTAAATCAGCAAAAGTATATTCAAGACTTGGTCCAGCTAGCTGGACTCACAAATACAACCCCTGTTGACACTCCCATAGAAGTTAATGTTAAATATAGACGAGATGAAGGTGACCTTCTAGATGATCCCACTCAATATCGCAAGCTGGTGGGAAGTCTCATCTATGTAACTATCACTCGTCCCGATATTTCTTTTGCTGTCCATACAGTAAGCAAGTTCATGCAATCTCCACGACATTTCCATCTTTCAGCAACACAACGAATCGTTAGATATCTCCTTGGCACTCCAAAGCGTGGTTTATTTTTTCCTACTGGTTCATCAATGCAACTCCAAGCATATAGTGATGCTGATTGGGCTGGATGTCCAGACACCCGAAAATCTACTACCGGCTGGTGTATGTTTTTAGGAAATGCTCCTATTTCATGGAAATGTAAGAAACAAGATTCAGTCTCAAAGGCATCCACTGAAGCAGAATATCGCGCAATGTCTGCCGCTTGTTCTGAAATTATATGGCTGCGTGGTCTTCTTACAGAGCTTGGATTCTCTCAAGAACAACCAACTCCATTGCATGCTGACAACACCAGTGCCATACAGATTGCAGCAAACCCAGTTTACCATGAACAGACGAAACACATCGGGGTTGATTGCCACTCTATTCGAGAAGCTTATGATCGAAGAGTCATCAATCTACCACATGTCTCAACATCTGTTCAAATCGCTGACATTTTCACTAAATCCTTGACACGTCAACGACACAATTTTCTACTTGGCAAATTGATGCTTGTAGATTTACCAGCATCAATTTGAGGGGGGATGTCAACGGAATTAATGGGAATTAATGGAAAACAGAATTGTATGGGATTGATTGCACAATTATTTGTAACGGTTATTCTTTTATTTAACATAATTAGCTATAAATGTATATATGGTAGTTTAGCTGATTTATTGGGCTGAAATCAACGTTACAGCTTGTAATATTACTGTATTTATATGAGCAATCTGAATGAGAAGGACACACAGCTCTTGGCCAAATATTTTCTTAATTTGACAGTATATAGGACAAAAATTATGAAGTATTATGAGTGATTGCTGGCTTTTTAAAGCAATCTTAGATTGAATACTGTGAAATGTGGATTCTTATTTTTTTCAAACATAAAACACTCATGAACTATGCGATAATGT